TTCTTCCGCAACACCAAGTACACCTTGATCAGGATTGAACATTTTGCATTCCGACAATCATCGTATTGAACATTTCTACGCCCCCCTAACACACAATATACCTTTGCGGTTACTACCATCAAGGAATTCGGACAACACGACTCACTTCAGCAGCCACGATGTTTCAGACAACCGCCCAGATACAGCACACATCGCCTATCTCCTCGACTGCTGCAGCCCCAAAAGCAATAGAGATGCTCCACGACCATGTTTTCTTCTTACATTGTAATCCTTTTATGTCCAAATTCGAAGCTACGGCCACTCCGGAGCCTACCCCATCGGTTCCTGACACACTTGAGATTAAGCCTATCGCAGCACCAGAGTGTTACTCAGTCATAGACCGAATTCACACCTTACCAGCAGGGCTTTGGGACTCCGATGTGATTAGTTCATATGAGTTTTTCGACCTGGAAAGCGGTGTGTTTGTGAGAACGCGTGGACCAATGGGTCTGGTCCTTGAGACTGTTTGGAAGATTCAAGAATCTGAGGGTGGAAACCTGGAAATCGTAGAGCAGGTCTCCATTACATGCTCTAGGCTCATCATGGGTATGATCAAAAGCTCATGCGAGGCTGGATGGAAAGGGGTTCATGGAAAGATGCTTGAGAGAGTAGAAGAGTCATCATAAGCAAATGCTTTCAACAATACCCCAAGAACAAAAATTGGATGGTATAGTTAGGTTATGGCCCTGCAATACGTGGCAATATCGTACTGGTAGTTGTTTCCTGCCAAAGTCGTGTCTTCAATGTTCAACAACAATGCTGCCAGGCTACCCCAAGTGGCTCTAGGACCAGAGTTCACGATAGATGTAGTGCCTACCTATATTCTTACAGAAACCATAGCATGTGTACGGGCATAATAATGTACTCTTGTGTTGATCCAATGAGAAAGTACCTTAAGTATGCGTTCCAGTCTTATTCTTGCTTTCCGCAAATAAGCATTATCCCAGGCAACAGTTATAAACTTCAGCCCCAAGCAGGCAACAGGAACCGAACAACCTAAGTGAGCTATACCTTTCTCTTATATTGGTCACTTATCAAAGTGGCAAAGCCAACTCATTGATCATAGGTTGCAGGCAAGCTTTTGCCTACATAACTTTGCCCCCGTGAGTCATTCTCGAAGTTCAACCTCAGTCTCGAGGGCATCATGATCATACCGGCCGGGTATAAAAGGAGCGCTTCCTCCAAACATTGCTTTTTCTTTTTTCCTTTCTTCTTCTTCACCTTCTTCTTTGCCATGAGGCTCGGATCAAAGTGTAGTAACTGTTCTTGTTGAGGCTAACCCCTCAACACGGGTCGTACACTGGCTCGATACTGTTCTGATTTTTGGTTCATTGGTGATGGCTCAACGGCGCTTGCGTGGTTGAATCGTTCCCAGGGTGTCCTTGGTATTACACTGTCTCCAAGCGATGCGCACATGTTTGTGTCTCTCAGCACATTCATCATTATGCTTTCATTGCATCTTGGCTGGTATATCCAGCGGTGTGAAGAAGGCCACTTCCGCTGCAGATAGATATCGTATTGCTTTACATTTAGAGCAGCTGAAGTTCTGGAGAGACAGTTGTGACGGAGTGTTGCACATTCTCACAACCAAACTTTTGTAGACCAATCTTCGATCCACGTCGAAATACATAACCTCTCGCGATTTATCTATTAGAGGGGAACAGCACATTTGCATACTGTAATTTGGGAAGTAAAAAATGAATTAGACTGAAATTTTGTGACATACTGCACCAGAAGAAAAGCGTAGCCGTAAACACTGGAATTATAAAATAACCATGTGGTCATGAGTTATAAACACGGTAGCTTCGGTGGCTAGGCTAGGTAGGGACACAGATGGAGAGGCGTGGCGAAGAGCCACCCATGAAATTTGCTCTCTACTCCGTCACGTGATCGCGCGACACCCATTTTGCCACTCATCGCGCTTTCGCGTTAAGAGGTTCAAAGCATCCCACTTCATTTTTGGTTGGCTGCTGATTTTCTATGATATCTTTGTATGCATTCTTTGCCTTTTGCCCATTGTCTTGACGACAACTAAAGAACGTGGGCCTTTTTCAGTTCTCTACTCTGCCAAAGACAAACAATAGGTACTATTTCATTAGCTATCATCATGGTGGCATCGAAAAAGTCCAGCCAGTCTCATACACCGAAGAAGACTATCTCGCATTTACCCAAAAAGCCCGTCAAGGCCAATCAAAGTATCCTTAGCTTTTTCAAAAAGGCTGAAAAACATGAGGCCTCTCTATTTCTTGGGGCGGCGCCAGACCCTATTGAGCACGAAGAACTCTACACTGCCGATGACGCCGACGACTCGATCCGATACAATGAGGCCGAATCGCCCAATAAAAAGAGGAAACTAAGCGAAGAACTTGAACAATTGTCCAAGAATAAAGTCTCAGTAAAAGCTGAGCAGGTGGTCGAGGCTGAAGACCGGCTCTCACCCACCAAGTGTGATGGCGAACCCTCACGCAAGTCAACAAAATCTAAAATTAAGACACCATTCGTAATGGACTCGGACAGTGAGGATGAGCCCGAAGACGATATTATGGCCACAAACAACAAGCCTGAAAATAATGGCCAATGTACGGAGCTTTCCCCGCAAAACGAGGTCCAGACGGACGGTTTTACTAAGATCGATGAAAAGAAGGAAGCAGATATTACCACGCAAGCCTTGAAACGGGAAGATTCAGCATACCAACAATTCGACGATCTCGGAGAACTAGTAGACGAGGAGTTCCCAGATCTGAACGATCTTGAAGGGGAGGAAATGCGAGTAATGCGTTACATGAGAGAGCAAGCTAGGTTGGAAGCGGAGGAAGCTGGGGTTTCAAGCGAAGACCTGGCCGATGACCCCCTTGACGATGATCATATGACAGAGTGTTGTCCTATATGCAACGGAAGCCTGGTAGGGATCTCCATAGATGAAGCAACACGGCATGTCAATTCCTGCCTTGATGGACACCCGATCCCGTTGCCTAAACCGCAGCAAACAACACCAGAACGAATCAAGTCGGAGAAACCAACATCAGCGATCCCTGTCTCGACCCCTGAGGTCGAATCAACCGACGTCAGCAAAAGATTTGCACGGGCTGCTGTTCCCAGGCCCGGTCAGGCGAACCCTTTCGAAGTTGCAAGTTCTGGCCCGGCACCGAAGTCTGCTTTCTCGAAACTCATGTCCAGCAATGCCGAAGACTCAGCATGGCAAGAAGCTGCTGCTGCTGAGCACGCTTCCCGAGGAAAGCAAGCATATGAGAGGACGTGCCCTTTCTATAAGATCATGCCTGGATTTTCCATTTGCGTGGACGCTTTCCGGTATGGCGCCGTCCAGGGTTGCAAAGCATATTTCTTGAGTCATTTTCACAGTGACCACTATATCGGTCTTACAGCAAGATGGTGTCACGGCCCTATATACTGCAGCAAAGTCACGGGCAGTCTCGTCAGAAATCAACTTCGTACAGCGGCAAAATGGGTTGTGGAGCTTGAATTCGACAAATCCTATGACATACCAGGGACAGAAGGCGCGAAAGTAACGATGATACCAGCAAATCATTGCCCGGGAAGCTCTCTCTTCCTTTTTGAAAAGACTATGAAGCAAGGCCCCAACAGCCGTCTTCAACGCATATTACATTGTGGAGACTTCCGTGCTTGCCCTGCTCACGTCAAGCATCCTCTTCTCAAGCCAGAGACTATCGACGCGATCTCTGGAAAGTCCAAGCAACAAAAGATTGATATCTGCTACTTGGACACCACGTATCTCAATCCACGATATTCTTTTCCGCCCCAGAATGATGTTATCAAGGCCTGCGCCGATCTTTGTGGCTCATTGTCTCCTGATCCCAATTGCAAAGACGATATTTGGGAAAAGGCTAGCGGACAAGGAACTCCAGCAGTCAGCAAGTTCTTCCCAAACACAAAACTTGATGAGAACGCAAAAGTCGACACCAAAAAGAAACATCCTCAACGGCTGCTCATAATTTGCGGGACGTATTCTATTGGAAAAGAACGTATATGCATTTCCATTGCTAAAGCACTCAAGTCAAAAATCTTTGCTTCACCTGGCAAGATCAAGATCTGCAAACAGCTGGACGACCCAGAGCTCACGGCACTCCTCACATCTGATCCCCTCGAGGCACAGGTGCACATGCAGATGTTGATGGAAATTCGTGCAGAAACTCTTCAGGAATACCTAAACAGCTATAAGCCATACTTTAGTCGTATTGTCGGACTTCGGCCAAGTGGTTGGAACTTCCGACCAGCAGGCAAAGCCATCGGTGCGAACACACCACCTGGCAGCATTCATACCCAGCAGATCCTTCACGACAAGGGCTGGCGAACCCGATTTGGATATAAAGATTTTGTTCCGCAGAGAGGCAGTACCAAGGAAGCCATGTGCTTTGGGGTTCCTTACTCAGAACACAGTAGCTTCCGAGAGCTCGCCATGTTTGTTATGAGTCTGAGAATAGAGAAAGTCATCCCGACAGTCAATGTAGGGAGTGAACAGTCAAGAAAGCGCATGAAGGGTTGGATAGACCGCTGGCTTTCAGAAAGAAGACGGGCTGGATTGGTAATGCCACTTATTGAAGGTGAAGACGATGACAGGATGTCGGATCAGGAACTCTGGGACGGTAAACCTGGTAAAGCCGGCGGAGCATTTTGGTGATCGATTATGATGTGGAGCGATTTGTATAGTATTCTCTTGAGCGGGAGTTCCATCTGATGACCTTTAATTTTTAGATACCATGTTGGCACATCAACGTCGTCAATTGTTTCATGACTCTTAGTTCTGTATAATGTTTAAAGGGGAAAGAAGAGCAACTCATTATCCGCATCAGGAGCAAACGCCTCATGAATTCTCCCTGGTGATCATCCCGGCTTCGACGTAAATATCACTCTCCATTTACCATAGTAGTAAGAGTCAACTGCGAAAAAGTTTATCTTGCCTCTCATCCATCACCTTGAACTGCTCATTTCGCCTTGGCTTGCTGAGCTGCAGCTTCTGTAACACGCGTGTTAGTATATAGTATGACTTTCTTTGAAAGCGCAACGTACCCCTCCGTGTAGCATCCTCAAGCAGCTGTGTGTCAACTGACGCACCGGGAAGATGAACGTATCTCACAACTGAGCCTCGAATAAAGACGTTCTTGACAGAGCTCTGTGATATTATTATTCCCAAGTCAGATATCAAGTTTCTTTCACATCGCCCAGGATAAGGGTATAGTCGACATACAAGATGAGGGTACTTGAGCTCCTCAACAACCTGGATGTCATCGAGCTTGATGTTGAGGTACTGATCCACACTCTTGAGAATCCCCTTCAGCTGAATGTCGTTCTTGAGCTCTACAGTGACCTCATGGTCAATGAGCGTCTTGAAAAAGCTGTATGAATAGCGTGTCAGTGTGCGAACAAGGGCCTTAACCACAGAGAAGATAGTTCGATGGTACCTGAAAAAGAGCATGGTGTCGGTGGCTTTTGCGCGCTTGCGGCTTTATGCGGGATAAATCGACTATGTTTTGGGGGTTCACGAGTGTTTGTCTTGTAGTTGCAATCAGTTTTGTTTCTCGAGGGAGTTTCTGTGTCGAGGAAGGCGCTTAGATGCTTGTTTGGTGGTGCAAGATCTCCATCATGATAGCGTCTACAGCCAAGGCAGCGTTGACTACGATCACGTGACTGTTCATGATTCACCAGCAAGTCAGGTAATGATTTCGAATCAACAGTAATTCATCACTGATTTCTTTAATCTGTGACATATCTACATGGATATCTCTTTGGCATTCATACTTCTGTTTGGATGAAGAGCCATGCTCAGGTAGTTCTTGTTCCTTCTAAATAAAACCAGCTGGCCATGAACCAAGACTGACTAAAAGCCAAATCCAGTCGCGCTACAGGTAAGACTTGTAGATAACCATACGTCTTTATAGACCTCAAATCCTTGCCTTAATCTTTGGAGGGTTCTCGTGTCGTTCTTAGCAACAAATGTCCGACCATCCTGACGACGGTTCCCTTTCCTTGCCTTCAATAAGCAAAAGCCTCCATGTGCAACCACGCTATGTATATCAATAGTGTATGGATCCTATCATTCCAACGCCTTGCAAGACTGGAAAATGCCGATTCGTTTTCTTTCGTGATTCGTGAGATTGAGCTTGTAGTCTACGCTACGTAGCGATACAAAGTTGGCGCGTCATCTTCATCAGGGCGCTCAAGATATTCTCTCGCGATGAGATCTTCGATACGCTTCTTGATGAGGGCAACCTCGGGGCGAAAGCTGCCGGAGAGCTGTGACAGAACTTCACTAGTGAGCTGCGAGTGAGAAAGCTCCTTTCGAGATCTACGAGAGTTAGTGAACAAAGCTGGCAGTAAGACTTAGACTTGGGACCTACTTCATGATTCGCACAATTGCCGCATCGACAACGTGAGCTCTGGTTTGGTTGTTCTTCTCCTCAGTGTTCTTTCGTTCCGTGTTATCTTCGACCTTGGACACCGCGTTGATGATGGGTGCTTTGATTCGTATGGTCTTGCTTTGGAAAGATGCATTGAAAGAAAACTTATCGCCTGCTTTGACAGACTTGTTGGCAGGATCCTTCATCAAGACGCGGGACTTGGGTGCCACAGCAATAGCTGTCAGTGTCCTCATGAGATCTGGAGTTGAGATGTTGGTCTTAGCTTGGATCTCTTCGAAGGTTAATGACTGGCCCTCCTCAAGATCGTTGAAGAGAAGCAGGACAACCATCGCAAAAGTCGGTACGTTGATCTCGTATCTTCGCTCCCGAGAGAGCGGGCCAGACTTTCCAGGGATGGCCGGAAAGGTACATTTGACATCTGAACTGCCAGTGGTACCAATCCAGGTGAGCTTGCGTCCATTACGGTTAGTTAGATAGTATTGCTCAAAGCTCGCCTGCAGTCGTCGCAGTTCAGGGGGGTATGTGCACGTAACACGAGATCCTTCGCCAATCTGCGTAGTTCGGCCCATGACCTCGGGTGGCCAGTAGTTTGTAGTTAGAACGTTGATATTAAGGTCGATGGTTTTGCCGCTGCCATCTCCCAGGTCACGAATGTGGTCACGATAGCCGCTGGTGAGCTCTGTTGACGTGACGAGATCTCTGAACATGCCTTCAAACTTGCTGGTGAACTGTTGGCCAAGTTCTTGTTTCATTCGGGAAATGATCTGCTTTTCAACATCATGGCTTTCGGACTTTCCGTGAAGAAGACGTCTTGCCAGATGTCTCTGGTAGTATGTCTGGAACAAATCTCTATCCTGAAGGTATCGGATCAGGACGATAGCTTTTTCTAGAACGATATCGACTTCTGCCTCTGTCTTGCCTTTGATGCCTCTCTTTAGGTTGTCATCGATGAACAGAGAGACATATTCAGAGCTGCGGCTGAACATATTGATAAAGTCAGAGAAGCTCTTGGTTAATGCGCTTTGGATAATAAGATCTCCTTGGAAGCAACGAGCCCAGAGGTTATCGAACTTGTCCTTCAGACGGAGTACATCGTCTACCCATTTAATCGCAGCAGCTGTCTGCTGCGCCGCAGGGTTCAATATCTTTGTCTTTTCCCCTTCACCGGCCTCGTCTCCTTCGCCATGACCGGACGAGAAATCGGTGTTCTTCAGTACCTTCTCAATCTCCAGGCCTAGCTCAACCACGCGACTCTGCAAAATGTCTCGTAAAGCAGTCTTCTTTGAATCGATCCTGGAGATGAGTTTGTAGAGAATCGAGAGGTCGTCAATCTTGTCATTGTCAATCATCCATTTCAGGCCACTCCCTTCAAGAGCCAAAAATTCGGACAGATGCTTGACTATGAGTTCTTGATCAATTGTTTGCGTGACTTTGGGTAATGTCTCTAACTCGATTGTTGTTCCGCATCGATCGATTTCTTCATTCAGTCGCAGTTGGGTGTGTCGCAGCCAAGCTCCGGCATCCGATTCGCGTAGTAGTTTCTCACACTCAGCGGCATAGTATGTCTTGCTGTTCTCAAGGAAGCGAGGTTCGAATACTGTCATGTACAGTTTATCGTTTTCCTTCTCTTCTTCGGTTTCGTAGAGGCTGCTGAGCATTCGACTACAGCTTCGGATGAGATTTCTGTCGATGATATCTCCTTCGCGCTCCATATCGATCTGGTCGAGGACCACTGATATAAGTATGTCTATCACCTTGCCCTTTGTGTTCGTGTTCAGCGAAGATCGTAGAATATGATCACGGAAAAGCGCGATGGTGGTGGCGAAGATGGGGGTTCGTTGGGCCTCGAGCTGTGCGTAGCCCCTGTCAAGATACATAAGAATATCGGCGGTCATGTTCATTGACATGTTATGATCTTCCCAAGTATCACGCAGACCTTTGAGGAATCTCTCCCCTGTCTGCCGCCTCTCATTGACGGACGTCGTCGAGGTTCGTTCGGCGCCAATGTTGATCAGGCTCTTGCTGACGAGTTCTCGAATCTTGGGGATAACATGATCTGCGAACCACTGTTCCTCGAAAGCTTTGACCCTATCATAAAGCAATTCGCCTTTCTTCTTAAGTACCATCTTGTACGCGGCTCGGTACAGCTCCTCGAATGACAGTCGGCTGCAGTTCTTCATGTGAATGTCGCGAAGGGCTTCATCTAGCATCTTCCAGCAAGCCTCGAAATCGGAACCCTCGGCGGCTTCATTTGGCTAAAGGCAAAGTCATAATTCAGGATTTAGATACTAACATTTCAGTGCATCGAACTTACACGCACAATGCGACGAGGAGGACGAATCCTTCCCCGAGCGCCGGCTCCTCCACGTCCCGAGATCATACTTATGGCAATACGGCTGGCGATATCGCCCCAGGTGAAGAATTTCAGGATGTTGTAGGTTTTTATATTTCGTAGGGAAGAATGGAGCTCTCTTGCGTTTTCCGCGTTGATCCTGAGCCTTGAATGTGGTGGGGTAATGATGGATGGAAGCCGTAGTCTCCAGGCGGGGCGCAGTGAAAGGCGAAATCGGCGAATGAATAAAGGAACGAAGAGGCAAATACTACCTAGGCACCTTAAGTTAAAGAAAATTTTAGGCGACAAGTCCCCCGGGCGCCAGGTAGAGAGCAGGCAAAGAAAAGGACGGAAACCCCGGGGCACTGGTAAGGCACTCTTTGAGAGATGGCAAGCTCAAGTTGACGAGGCTACAATTTATGGCTTCTGCATCCATGGTTTGTTACTTCAACCCCAGGCGCTGTTATCGATAAGCTGCACCAATGATGCAACTTGTGTGGGGAACTGACCAAGCACCGACCGAGCTTCGCAGCACGAAGTCACGTGGGGACAATGCAGCTCCGACCCTCGATTTTTCCGACCGACAATTCAAGCGGCCTTGCTATAGCCAGCCTCTCAGCCTCACACCACATCGATCCTACAACGACGCGCCTAGCAACCGCCTGCTTCCACCCCGAACAATCATACAGCAGTTTAAGCGCCTAAGCCCTCTAAAGTAGCCAATATGAAGCTGGTTCGGTAAGAACTCCCTCTGTCTCTTGCGCACCCTCGGATTGTGCTGAGCTTCTTGTCAAGTTTGAGCTTCTGGACTGACTTAGGGCGACTAGTTTTCTCATGAAATGCGCCAACGAAACGGTGACAATTGAGCTGAAAAATGGTAATATATTTCTCCTCGCCCCTAAGCAAGCTTACAGCCATGCGAGCAGCCGTGTACTAATTGTCATCTAGGAACCATTGTTCATGGTACCATTTCCTCAGTCTCTCCTCAGATGAACACCGCCCTCCGAACCGTCAAAATGACCATCAAAGGGCAAGACCCCATCTCTTTGGAAACGATGAATATTCGAGGTTCAACAATCCGATATTTTATCCTGCCCGACTCTTTACCCCTTGACACACTGCTCATCGACGACGCCCCTAAGCCGAAGAACAAGGCCAGAAAGGAGGCAGAGCGGGGTGGACGAGGAGGACGAGGCAGAGGCGGTCCCAGGGGACGCGGACGTGGTGGAGGCCGCGGTCGCGGAGGACGGCCCTAAACGAGGAGGACACGAGAAGATTCAAGAGACATGACAAGACGGGGAAAGGACGGAGGCGCCCATGCGCGTCGTTGATGTGGAGTGACCACGTTATCGCGAAGATATCACATTCAAATGGAACCTGGCGTTCGGGTTGTTTGGCCATTAAAACTGTATGAACCCGCATGGGGTGGGTATCACTTTTCTTGTTCTGGAAAGATATCTGAATATATGCTCTCTCACACCCCAATTCCATCGCAACATCTTTTTTTTTATTCTACGGCTTTTGAATAGTCTCTCCATATCCGTACGATCTGCAGCTTCTCCCACCCGGCCTGTTTGCCGCTGTTTCCAACAGTTTGAGCCCGCCATTCAGGCCCAAACCCCTCAACGCGACTCTTGACTTGATCTGGCTTATTCTGAGCGCAGAGGAGGAGGTAGGCACAACCGCGTCGGGACAGGGCTTGGGGTAGTGCCTCGATCAGCCTATCTGTTGTCTCCATACCATCTAAGCCGCCTGCGTAAGATAAGGCCAACAGATACGAATCGTCGTCAAATGAAGGCTTTGTGGTGACTGCAAGGTCGTCTGCGCTAAACGAATCTGGTCTGGCAGGCATCTCAGGCGTGGGCACATATGGCGGGTTGAAAATGAGGACGTCGATGGTGCCCTCGCGCCATGGGGTTGTGAGATCCCCCATGCATGAGCCCAGATAAAATGCATGTGAGTCGGGGTTGTCAAAAGCTGCCTTTGCAACTGTCCCAACTGTAGCCCGACACGCAAAGGCGTTCATGTCAACCCCCGCAGTCAGGACCTCGCGCGTGCCGAAAAGCTTTTGCGCATGTGCGTGGACGAAGGCGAGGACGACACCTGAGCCTGTGCCGACCTCCACCACGAGAGGCGCTATATCGGGAAACGCGTTTTGGAGATACTCGGTCTCTGTAGCAGATGAGAGCGTATCCAAGAGGAGGTATGAGTCCTCGGCAGGTTCGTAGACTCGCTCATATGGGACGTGCGAAGTATCTGGCGTTGGTAGCATGATGTGTGCCTGTCAATGTGAAATACGTTGTGATTGTGGTGAGGCTTCATTTGTATTTGGATCATAGGTTGAAAACTTGTGATGGCACTGGGTGGATGCGGCACGTGATGTATTTCTAGAGTCAAGAAATTGAGACTAAATAGTTGACAGGAACAAAAGACGGATATAAAGCTGTTGTTGGTGGAAAACACAAATCTCTGGTTCATAGCAGAGTGGTAGCGGGCTCAGCTTCGAACTGATCGCCTTTTGTTGGGTTGGAAAAGAACATATCTGGTTCACTTGGATCAGTATGGATGGATATCTTGGGGTGCATGAACCGGGCAGACAGAACCCTACAATTGTTGCTCGAGATATTCCCTGATCAAACTGGTATAAAACACCAGGAATTCGGGGCTCGTGCAAAAATCCGTCGCAACGATCGCCTCAAAGAATCGCGCACTTCATCTCGCAACCCCAATCATCCTGTCCTGGCCCAACTCCCCATTTAATTCCCCAGCCCATGTCCTCCACCATCCGAACCAGATTACGATCGTATATACCGTGCAGCTGGCATCGAGGACATGGTCGGCTCTTTGTGTTATAGAATTTTGGTGGTTCCTTGGCTGTACCATCGCAGAAGGTCGGGCAATTGTTGAGGCCCATGAATGGCTCACACGGTTCCGTGAGGACAAGCCAGGTGTGTTTGCATTCTTTGTGCTGGAAATACGTGAGAGTGCACATCCTGAGATGTTCAGGAATCAATCGCCAGAAAAAGATGTGTTGGAATTATTGCTGAGGGAGAAAGACGAAAAACAAGTTCTATTCGCGAGGTAGAAAAGGAAGGACGGCTGGCTGTGTGGTGACAGGAATGGATGTTTCCAACAGTGCCAGTTAATCAGTGCTAAAAGAAAAAGGCCACCACAATAATATTGTTTCGCAACGCCCTTCCCTGGCTCTCTGCGTGTGCAATTCTGTTTATGCTCATACCCAAACACCATGCAACCATCATGAATCACGATCCGCTAAACCTCTAAATGACGACTCGGCAGTATTGTCTCCCCTAAGTGTCCCGCTTTGCTCCAGCTCATCATCGCTGATGGCATCCTCGACAGATGGAACTAGGCGAGATAGCATCGCTTCCATGCGCCGTATCGCTTTCTCCATATTGGCAAGCCTATCTGTAGTTCCCTCAAACATGTCATTCTCGGAGAAAGATCCTCGAAGCTTCTGGGGTGGGATCCCGGGAAACATAGAATCTCGTCGAGATGGACGTCGAGCCCCGGGATCGGGCCTAGAGGTGTTATGTAGATTGCGGGGCTCTATATCATTTGTCGCATTGCGTGTGAACTGTCGACGGATGAGATGATGTGTGAGATCATCATCGACAGCGATATCGTCGTGGACAGTATCAGGCGGTGGCACTTGAAAGACGGCACGAAGGTCTCGGTGAACCGTCAACCGCCACTTCTTCCAAAACTGGCTCTTTGTCGGGGGCGGAGATTTGATCTCGGTTGGGTCTTCGATCTCGCGGGAAGGCCAGAGCAGACGGCGCTCAGCAACAGCGATGATAAGCAGGAGAGGGAGATTCAGAATCTTGACTGCCGTGACGTGGATCTTGTGGAACCAGCGCGGACTCACGACGAATTTAAGCGGGATGAATAAGAATACGGCGAGGATGTTGAACGGGGGTTGGTATGCGAACACAGCGTCGGCCTTGACGCCCTCAAGTGTCAGAACTGCTCGGCGGAAACTGATCTCCGCTATGGCGTTTGACGAAATGTTGCTGAATGTATTGGAAAGCATCGATACGAGAATGGTAAGGAAGAGGGTGTTCCCGAGGAAAGCGAAGGCTACCATCACACTAGGTCCTAGCAGCCAGTGAAACTCGGTCTAGGATAGATGTCAGGATTTGTCAAGCGTGCGAGGGGGAGACGAAGACTGACCGATCGATGGATACCTGTTCCATCCAATCCAAACCAGATATAGATCATCCACTTCGATATTGTTCTGATGCATATTAATACCACGTTTCACCAAGGTGGTGCAGAAACCTACAGGATGGGGTGTGCCCCCTCGCCGAGCCACAGAAGTGACAGCAGAAACCCCAAGAAACACCAGGCAGATAGAGCTGTGAGGAAGAAAAAGTCCGCCATCATTGACCTGAGGGACAAGAACACGAGATTGTCGCTCAGCAGATTGAAAGCAAGCCGCGGAACCAAGACAGGAGCGGCGAGTGCAAGCACATCAAACGCCTGTTCGTCTAGGTTCGCGTCACCAAGCTTCCAGCCCAAGAACCGCAATACAAGATATACCCAGTAGATGAGAACAAAAGCCACATCAAGGAATGACCACAGGTTCTGGGTATAGACGTTCCTTTCGAAAGGTTAGTACTCGAGTGACAACACAACAAGTAAGTCTGTAGCATACCAACCATGTGCTAGAATAGTAGCAAATTGATCCAAGCCCCATCCAAAAGCAAAGATAGAAAAGGCTGCTTCTGTTGGTCCATAGCGGTTTTTCCTTCTAAGAACCATAACCGCGACGTAGAGAGTGAGCAGAGTGGCGAATTGGATTGACTCGAGGACATTTCGGGTTCGAGGGACAATCAGACGATATTGGTTGAGAAGAGGGGATTCGCGAGGATCATAAATAGAGATGGGTTTTAACTTGTAATGATCGGGGATGATGTCCCAAAATGTCGAGGGGGTATAGACAATTCGACCCTCGTATATGGCGTTGACGACCTTTTGGCAAGTCGCTGAACTCAAGAAATGCTTGCTCTCGGTGACAATGGCCACCTCAAGAGATGGCAGCGTCTTGTAATCAACCCAGGAGGTGGTGCGCTCTGCCTCGTCTCGAATCTCTTCTGGGGCATTCTGGAAGGGTTCAAAGCCAGCGACTAGAATATGAGCCAGAAGCAAAAGGCCGTCGTGGCCATCATCATGCACTTCACCAAAGCGTCTCAGGATGCGCGTAGCTATGAGCTCACATAGAGTAGCACGTGTGAAGTTGACATTGTGGCGATTATTGAGATGAGACTGCTCTTCGAGAAACTGAGCACGATTAACCAGCAAACAGTAGACTATCAGATGATATCAGTAAAGGGTCCTCAAAAGGGGTGAACAGCACTCCTCTTACTGATGGATATGTCGTTGAGGCCATAGAACTTATCAACCAACGGCCGCACAACTGTAACATTAATCCTCAGATCCTGCAGCTGGGCGAGGCTCAAATAGTCCTCAACAACGCTGATGATGTCGCGACGAATACGGTGTATGTTGGTATACACGGGTAAGTGACTATGAGGGTCTGTCATGCAACTATACAGGGCATCGCGGTTCTCTGGGCCGCCTGTACTGAGCCTACTCAGTAAAGGCCGTCGCTCTTCAGGATCCGGCAACGTGATGCGCCGGCGGGTGTTGCCAGCCATGAAAAGGCCAGTCAGGTAGTCCTATAGTAGTAATATTTAAGGGAGGGACAAGGTCAGAACAAAGAGGATGAACTGCGAGTTATCGCGTTGTCGGTGATGGTTTAAATCAAGTTTGTCCCTTTTTGGTGTAGCGAGCGATAAGATAGGTACCTAGGATGCCCCAGAGGTCGCGTAAAGGCGCTATTGGATAGATACAAGGACCTAGTAGTTTACAAAGAGGGGACAGAAGTAATTGATCAAGGCCACTGGGGATATCAGCATTCGAAATATAGGTAGGTAGGTTGGTATATCCTCAATTTTAGGTTGTGAGGGAGGAATTGTTTAACAGACGTGCAACGTCATTGGACTAGAGACGCCTGTCCCATTAGAGCCCAGCGTTTCGGATTTGAATCTTGGTGGGTGTTGCTTCTAAAACACCAGTGATTGGATCATACCAACCGCCGTAAGATGTTAATGCCTTGATAATTTCTCCAACAGAAACAAATAGAAGTGAGTTCTTTACAGGGGTGGTAGTGACTTAGAAATCCACCTCTTTTCTTTATTTTATCTGACATCTTAACAAACTTATACTAGTCATATCCACTTGAGCTTGCCCTTGGACTGTCTGAAGCCTAGATCTGCACATGGGACACTAATCTCAGACATTCCGCGCATTACAACAATGCAAATCCTACAGTTTCGTCCCAGTCTCATCCGCACCAGCCTCTTTAGCCAATGCCCAAGCGAACTTTGCCAAAGAACCCCTCGTCACAGCGAAGTGTTTCGCTTTCTCGCTGCTCGCCTGTCTGAGCGCATATCGCGCCGCAATTCCTTGACAAACTCCAGCCAGCTTCCAGATGCTGAACGACATTCCCCATGGAACCTCTGACCGGGGATCGTATCCACTCTCCTCTGTGTACCACTCCAGGATCTTGCCTGGTTGTGGAAGACCAGGCGTCTTGCCAGGGAGGAATCCGGATACATCATAAGGAGTCGCACCAGGGGATTTGGCCGAGTAGAAGTTTATAAGAAAGTTGCAAATGTCGGAGAGCGGGTGGCCAACAGTAGACATCTCCCAGCTGTAGAATATGTGTTAGTAAATGACTTGGAGTCTGGGAAGGTGAGCATACTCCAAGATTCCGATGACCCTTGGTTCAGTCTTGTGAAATACCAAATTGTCAATTTTATAATCCCCATGTACCAGCGTTGCCCGGTCCTTGGGCTGCAGACGCTCGTTCTTGAAGAAGCGAACCGTTTCCTCAAAGTGAGGGAGCTTCCCGACAGGTTCCTTGGTCTCAATGTCGACGGCCTTCTCCTGGCTACCACAGATAGTTACCCACGTGTTGATCTGTCGCGAATAGAAACCCGATGGTTTGCCAAACTTCTCTAGGCCGACCTTTTTGTAGTCAACTGCATGGAACCGTGCCAATGTCATCACGGCATCGCGCCACATAGCCTCACGATCGGCGGGCTGTACGCCTGGCATGGTAAAGTCTTCAAAGATACGTCCATCGAGAAACTCCATGATATAGAACGGCGTGCCAATAACAGAGTCATCCTCGCATAGACAGTACGCTTTGGGTACAGCAACATCAGTGTCCTCCAGAGCATGCATGATGCGGTATTCACGCTCTACTTTGTGAGCTGTCTTGGAAAGGAGCTTTCCAGGTGGCTTCTTGCGCATCACAAAGCGTTGGCCATCTGAAGCAGTAATCTGGTATGTAGGATTGGATTGGCCGAAACCAAACTGTGTAGCATCAGCAGCCATCACACTGAGAAGAGTCCAAGCAAAGAACTCACCTGTTTGAGATCAATCGGTGTCTTGATGGTCGGAACATGCTCAGAAATGTATTTCTCAAGCGCAGCCTCATCGACCGGCTGTCGAATTCTACCAGCCATCCCTAGGACAGTTACGTGGTGAGTAGATACAAGAAAGGATGATCGGCGGTCGATTTGCTGGTTCAAGGCCACGAGATACAAGTCGGAGGTTACAAAAAGATGAATTGAAGAATGGTTTGGCGGAGCTACGGTTAAATGATAATTGCAAGGTCAAGAGTTATTGTACCCCGGATGTGAGAACTGACTCGATGAGCTTAGGTACCTTGAACATTTGGCCCCTTGCTAGTCACTAAAGATGCCGAGGTTCAGATCTGGGGGATTACAGACAGACCTTTAGTGGCCCCCTCTTCCCCAAGCTCTCCACAATCCTAGGTTCGTTCGGTTCCTCGGTTCATCTGACGCGCCTACCTAGGTATCTCTATCTTGTTTGTAATGAATCAGTGTTTCGTGCTTCGAGGCATGCCAAATAGCAATTCACTATACGGATGTAATAATTCAAGCTTCCATTGTAAAACTCAAGGCCCGTTGGTCATTACCACTGTCCAAGACCTAAAGCCTACCTCCTAGCTATGATCGTTCTACCACCACTCGCATGCATTGGAGAATAATATCCATCTCATTAACAGACTACTGGCATGCACATATAATCAAGGTTCCGCATAACAGGCTCCCACCGCGGACCAGCCGAAGCAGAATACCGCCGTTCAAGAAACAAGCATACGGTATATAAAAGAATAGTCCTTCCTGCTCGCTGATTTCCACCTCACCCATCCATCCATATCCGTCTCACTACCTCAACGCAAGACATGAAGGAATGCTCATGCCAAAAGGAAACAGACAAATGAAAATTCACAAAAGAAACCATGGTGACAAGCCCTCCAAGTAGCTTCCGGGTCCAAGGTGAAGAGAACAGAATATTCCGTGGTATCAGTATCCATAACGCCAAGCCCTCCTTCTGATGCGGTCGTAGTACATGGATCAATATGTGTCGAGATGTTGGTGGCTGAAAGTCGTATTGTCATTATAGATCATTTACCAGCCCTTCTTCCTCGCGAAGCGTTTGTTCAACAACGCCAGGACCTTTGGCACGTTGAACTGGACATATTCCAGGTCCAGGTCATCCTGATTGTCCTTTTGCATCTCAAGCAGATCATCAAGCTTGAGATCCAATTCAAGGAGACCTCTATTGCGACCTGTCTTCAAGTTAGCATGCTAGAGCGACAGGAGAATGAAAGAAGCTCACCCTTATAGTGCAATGAAATGACGAATGTTCCAGGTAGTGGACTGGTAAAGTTGAAGTATATGTTGGCCCGTCTGTTGTCGGGGACATTACTCTTCTGGATGACACCCTCCTTCTCAAGCTGCTGGTGTGTGAACTTGTACGGACCAAGGACTTGCTGCTTCTGTTGCTTTCTCTTAGTACCCTCGCTCTGTGATCGAACGTTGTGTAGGTAGCTTTTGTAAGTCTCGAGTTGTCCGTTGAGATAGACATTATGATCACGGATCGTCTTGTAGACTTCTTGCAGCTTCTGGGTCTCAGTGATAACACCCTCTTTGAGTGATCCGAGATGTTGAAGCTCCTGCTCAACTTCGTCTCGAAGTAGGCTGAATTGATCGGCCTTGTCGATAACGCGCAATTCCTGAAGCTGGGATAACAGTTCCATGGCCCGGATACCTTTGCGAACCATTACTGCATCACTGCGATTTGTAGCTGCGGCATCAGCAATGCGTTCTAGTCGCAGTGGTCTTCTGGCCACCCCACTAGTTGCTGGGATCGATCGCATGACTTGTACGAAAATCGACTTGGCTTCCATGAAGTAAACCTCCTCCTGCGTGATATCCAATGCTGCTGTCAGATCGCCAATAGCTGACTCCCATCTACTGAATAAAGGCAAGTTGATAACTCTGTTCTCTTTGCGCGGCAGCTGAGGGGGCGATGATCCCAATTCTGACATAATGATAGCAAGATGCGAATTGTCATCCTTGCACAGCTCGTCATGATGCTTGTCAAGCAACGAGTGCATGGCGTACACTTCATTGAGGGTGATCTCAAGTTCAAGATCCTTCTTTGATAGGGCAACATAATTATCCATCTCGAGGCTCTCATAGAAATCCTGGACCTCGCAGAGATCGAGCATGAACTTATTGATTCTGTCCTTGTTCTGATGAATGAACGGCTGAAGCTTAGCCATGTACGGCTCCTTGGCATAGGATGGCTTGTTCGCGAGGTTCTGAAGCATCTTGGCGATATATGTTAGAGTTCGTCTGGGTCGTTCGGCCGGGGTTCCGTCGATAAGCATGTAAGATTTCGGGGTAACGATCGCAGGGTTAATGAAGCGCAAAAAGAAGAATCCACCAATCAAGGTACAAATGACCTGGTCATTAGCATCTGGATATTTGCGCTTGGTTAAGCTCCTGATTTGTTTGCAAATCCATCGGATACCATAAGGCGCTTCCTCGAGGCCCTCAATAATGGTGGTCAAGAAGCCATTAGCAATCTCAGTCAACATAGTTAAGCGGGGCTCAATGATGGCCTGAACCTGAGGGTTCTCGGCGGCTTGTTCACCAGTGATTCCCTTGGGAAGATGGGGAGGCAGTTGGCCAGTATCCTCTTCGATCTGTTCAATCATTCGCTCGTAGACCTTGAGCGGGTTGATTTCCAGGTCAAGATCTTTCAGCTCGATCAAGCCATTGATTCTATCAGCAAGCACGGATTTGAGGAAACTTTGACCAGGACCTCTTCGGGTGTATGTAGTCATCATTCGAGAGACGGGAGTATTAGCGCGGAGCAAGGAGGAGTAGTCCGGTGTGTTGTCGAACTGATATGTCAAGACGGACTAGAGCATGTGAGACGTGTATCTCTTTTAAAGGCGTGGAAGCTTACCTGGAACATAGTGAGCAAGAGATGCTCTTCTCGACTTTCGTATTGGTTTCCGTAGATAGTAAACATGACAGTCTGGAGCAGCGAATCAATCTCAGACATCGAGACGAGCCTGCAGAGATGTGCAATGTGCCTAGGCTCAGATTGGAGCAGAAACAAAAGGTTTCCGTATTTCTGAGTTTTGTCGTCGTTAGGGAAGACACCCTGCTGCATTTCAAGAGCATCTTCGAGATGGCTGGCAACTTCGTTTTGCTATAGCGCGAATCAGAACTCGTTCATTTCGACGTTGATTGGAGACGTACCTCTTCCAGGGCCATACGGTTTTGGATAAGCAACGCAATTCGGGAATCTAGATACCGCACATCTTTTTCCAAAACGAAGTTCTTCTTCGACTGTGATGAGATCTTAGACTTAAGATCACGCAGCGCCTTTTGTGCTGGAATGAGGTCAGTTGCTTATCCTCTTGAAATGCAAATGTAGGCCTACCTTTGGCAAGCTCATCTTCAATCTGTAGATCTCCCTCGTTGGCAGAAATCGACATGTAGAGAGCTGACATCGAGTAGCGCTTCGACTGGCGCGCAGAGCGCGAGCCGTCGTAGGAAGACATGGTATTTTGGCGTGATATGGGCTGGAAAGAGGAGGAGGAGGCCGTAGAAGCTCGAGATGGCGTTTGTAGCATGATGGACATAGTGTGTTTACTGCAATTTATGACAACGAGGGTTCAGGCTTGTATGCCTCTAGACTCAGACAACAAGCAGCAATTGCGCAGGTGCCGAGCCAAAGGGCAGCGAGTCAGGTTATCCCAATTATGATGAGTCGAGGTCAAGCGTGGCAGCGAAAGCAACGACCAGTTCGAGGTGAATGACAAGCAGTGAGGCGTAGAGGGCGTTCAACGGTTTCGCGGTACAAAAGCGGAAAGTCGCAAAATAATGAAGATTGTATCAACGGAGGTATCGACGATGGTTATGAGGCGAGCACGGCGGTTGGGGGCGCGCAACAGCAATACGTTCGCTCAGAAAACAAAGGACAAGAAACAAGCTAAGATGGACAGATGGTAAGCGGCAACGGTAGCTCAATGGGAGCGACAGTATGTCGCGATGCGAAATTCTGAAAGTCCTCGATCTCGCGAGGAGCGCAGGAGGCGTTCAAGGAAGAAAGAAGTGCAAAATGAACAACACAACGGCGGCAGGTTGATGGTGATAGCGAAAGTGGAGGTAGCGGTGGTGGTGTTGGTGGTGGACAAGGCAGAGGCAGGAAGGGGAAGGGGGGCCGTGGGTGATGGAATTGCACAGGCAAGGCAACCAAAAGCGAAGTACCTGAGCTAGAAGTGTACTTGAAGCAGAGTAGTTTAGATAGTGGACTGCAAGGTACCAGACATGGATCCTGGTGTATTTCCGGGCAGATTTATGCACGGCTGAGACGCGGACTTCAGGAGGGAGAGACGGCGCGTGGGACGGTCGGTGGATCGTTGGCGTTCGACGCTGCAGGGTCGTGCGTGCGTTGTGGGCTTGCACTTGTTTGTGTGTGTGGGGAGAATAGGAGGAATTAAAGCGAGCGCGAAACAAGCGGCGACGATGAATAAAATGATAATGAAGTGCTTTTGACAAGGGAAATGATCGACGCTGAAGAAGAACTGGAAGAACGGAAGAAGATATCCAGAAGAAAAGTGACAGGAACCTGATAAGTTTGTGTGACTCTAGAGAACCTGCCTACTAATGTACTGCACGTCCGAAAGGAAAGGAGGCCAAGGAGAAGAGAAGGGAAGTACTACCAAAGGTACATAAGGTAGGAATCAGGGGCAACTAATGTCATGGAAGGCGGGCAGGAAACAAGACTGAGGTGGCAGACCAAGTGAAAGAGGAGGGAGGGAGGGCGAATCAGAGATTCCGAGCAGCTACGTGTGCAGTCCAGTACATTTTGATCGGTACCTGAACTGAGATGAGAGACCAATACTGGTAGTGGATGGGATGGATGGATGGATGGTGATGATGATGCCCAGTCAAGGCGAACTGGGTGGTATGGATGGGAATGGAATAACGTGGCCGGTCTACTCCGTACCACCGCTGGTGAGTGAGTATTAGGTACTGACCTACCTTACAGAGTTGGTGTAGAGCTTTGAAGCTAGGTAGCTAAATCTGAAGGCTTACTGTATTTTGCAAATACCACCCATACCTGGGCT